ATATATATATATTCTATATCATTTGTGCTATAATGCCTCATTGGACTTTTAATGCTTAGACTACAGTTACACGGTTACACCTGTATGGTGGTAAGGAGGCTAGCACGCATGTCTTGTGTGCCTTGAACTCCTGGATACAATTCCCACAGGGATCTCTGTCTTCAAGGTGTATGTGTGTTCATACTGCTCTGAAAAACGACAGGTATTATCAGCATGATAGGACAGCAACTGTCAGACCTCTGGGGGCTCCTCGTCCCTGACTCTTAGCTCCAATTAGCCTCATAGTTAAGCAAAATAACAAGGCAGAGCTCTAAATTTACATTGTTGTAGGAGATGGGCTCTGGCAGGTTATCTTGCTTGGTTGATACTGAGCCCATGTATGTGCACTTTAACTGACATCCCATAAAATACTTATCAGCAACTATATTAGTAGTTGAACAAATCTTCATGTAAAGGATAGAAATATCCCAGGAATATATTTAGCCTACTATGCGTGCCGGGTTCTGTTCACTTGCCTGACAAGTCATTTATAATAAGACGGTTTAAAGGGAAAAAAGATTTAGTTATGTAATAAAAATTTCACATTTGTAGAATTATTAAATAATGCTTTGAAGGTAAGTACCCATAAATATTAATATGTATGGGCTCTTTAATTTATGTTTATATACTGACAATATGCTGCTCAGTGCATTTATCAGTAAGAAGTTTTTAACATCATGAAAAATGCACCAAAAGCTTGATTAAAATATCTTTTAATTCTCGAATTTCATTTCCCTTCATATGACCTATATGTGAATTTCCTAAAAAGCCACCTCTTTACTTGGCGGGAGATTTCCCTTGGGTATTCCCATCTCTGCAGATCTGTTCGATGATGTGAGGAATACAGAAAGTTCTTAATTGAAAGCATGTCATAGTCTACAGGTGTCTATGTGCTATTAAAGCTATATTCCAGGAAAACAGCTAAATACACAGTTGAAATACATATATTTACCTGCCAATGGATCTGCACAAGAAGAATGAAATAAAACCATAACAGTAAAACTCCAATCAAATTAGTTATTTATACCTCATTCTCTCACAAAGGGAATACATATTTTGGGCTAACTTTCTTTCTGTAGACATAGAGAGGCCAAAGATCTGTTTTCCTATAGCAAGCATGGAAAGTTATTAAGTTTTGATACAACTTAATGGATATTTTGTAAACTCTTCCTGAAGTTGGGGTATCTGTGCCCCAAAAGCTCACAATTTTCATTGAACTAATAACCATACACATTTGATTCTTATACAATGTCATCTTGATGACCAAAGAGAAGATGTCATGGTATTACATACAATAAGTGGTGTATAGGGCATATTATAAAACATGTAACGCATTTTACCTGTGTGCGATTAAAGGCCACTCTTGCAAAGACTGCTTGAGACACACTTGCTCTTTTTAACTCATCCCGGACTTGCTGGTAGACATCTGGAGAAACTTCGACTGAAGAGTTTGTGATCTCTACTGGCTTGACAGGTCTGGGAATTGGTGGGTGATTTAGAAATTGTTGGTTGATAGCTTGAGGGTGTTGGTGTGCTAAAAGTCTGCTAACAGCTATCTGTTGGTTTATTAAATGTGCCATGGCTATTTGCTGCCGCACCAATGAAGGACTGAGCTGAGGAGACAACAGTCCAGGGCTCATTATTGGCTGCAATTGTGGGACTTGACTTCTGATAGGAGTGCTATGGTGAAGAGGGCTATGAGGTGCCTGCTCATTGCTCTTTCCTAAACTTGCCAGCTGGTTGATACTGGATAAATGTGCTGGTCTCTGACCCAGCACACAGTAGTCTGTTAGATTGTCCCGTTCAACTGTGAAAAAAGAAAACCTTTATTAGCATATCCAAACTTAACTTATTGGTACTGCTATAACAACCATAAAATACCTGATCCTGTTGGTCAACATAGCTTCTAAGTAGCATTATACATAAAGGACCACTTTTTGGATCAGAACCACTGTTATGTTAGCAGATTATCACACATACTGGCACATAACCATTTGCAATTTTCCATCAGTTTTTTGTTTAGAAGCAATATACTTCACTATAATAATGTGCTAATGGTACAGTACTGGTGCAAATTTTATAATAAGCTTAGTCTGAATTAGCAAATGTTTATTTGCCTAATGTGCGTAGCGGTGTGGTGCAGTACACCGGCAAAATGCTACATGCACCATTATTCCTGCATTCTGGTGCATTAGGAAGCTCATTCAAAAGAATATCCTGCCTTAATGCAAGGGTAATGCAGCAAAATAGTGTGAATAGGCCTTTATATCTTATCACTACAGCATATACTGTTTCAACCATAACACAAAAAAAGAGTAATTTTCCATTAAATCATAGCTGTAGTCCTTTTAATATCATAATTGCCCTTTCTTGCCTGTTTTATAGCAAAACAGTACAGTATAAAACTGGGGAATTGGCGAAAAAAAATTATCTTAAAGATTCTCATAGATATTACTAGTGATATTACATTTGCTTCATTTGGGGGTCAGAGACTTTATGATGTAGTAATATAATCCATCCCTTTGATGACTGATCTCTTTGGTTATTGTATCAGTATACAGTGACGTTTTACCTCTGTCAGTCAGCACAGTCCTGAATATCCGTAAGCATATGGACACCTGCATGCACCACAGAGGTGAATTAATGTCTCTCAGGGGGGAGCAAGATCACCTCAGCCAAACAAAGTGATATTGCCATATGCAGCATCAATCTATACTATATAAGGTTACATTTTCATTTCTCAGACAGGGAACATCCACTGTCTGCAATGAACCTGATCACTGCATTCAAATTTCAGCCAATGAATCTATAAATACAAAGGACATGTGATCTGCCTTTCAGATATCTTTTTATAATGATAGAATCATTACTCATAGCCAGTGTCACTTTATTCTTGCCAATACCTATGCAAATATTTATGGCTGATACCTTATCCTTTAAAACATTTGACCCATGCTTGTTGTTTTAAAAGCACAGTACAATTGGCATTAACAGGACTGAGCAAAAATAGATGTTTCAAATAAAATCTGCAGGAGGAAGCCATGGCAAACTACAGTCAACGCTTACAGAATCTATACAATCTACACCCTTACACGGTCAGCCGACTCAAACCTCATATTGCTGGTTTTGGTAGATGTTGTAAACTTAAACCACTGGAAAGTGACTTTTATCTGTCTGGGACTCTGCTAGTAAGATTTTCTCACTAGAGTCCCTGGGCCCAGGGGTGGATCACTGTAGCCTTTAAGCACAAAATGTTTGGAGCCCTACATAGTCGTCCCTCCCCTCCTTTACTCAACAAATGTTATGGATTCTGGGTTCTGACCTGGCTTAAAGTATTCTGATGACATGTAAAAATCCTTACAGGAGGTGACTTTTTGCACTAATTGTGGAAAAACAATTGTGGCAAATAAATATACAGGGAAATGCCACCTCTCTACCTCTGCAATCTATATACATGTGCCCACTGTGCCTGATAGTATTTCAGGCCCTCCCTGGGTCTGCACAGCTGCCGTGGCCATTATAAGGGGTTCTCACTCTCCATGTTGGATTTTATTTATTCTCTATAATGGTGAATGCAAAAGGTGATGATAAAACACACAAAGGTGGACAGGAACACCTAAAACATTATGGTGGAAAAGAGAAGAAAAGAGTCCGGAATGATGAGAGGCAGGCCTCACTGTTGGAGTTTCCAAGACATATAAGACATCTGGCTGCACCTTTATCTGAAATATAATTGTTGGTTAGGCGGTTCCTTGAAATCCCTTGAAATCCCAACTGAACTTTCAATTTAAATCTGCTAAATATGTTCCAGATGCATCAAACCAAAAGGTGTGTACATATTTACAGGTTATTTTATTTAGAAATCAGCCACAGATTTAGTACAAAAAGCCTGCCCTTACCAGCATGCTGCAGAGAAGGACCCTTGCTCTCTTTGTGGAGCAGTTGTCTCTCTGCAGGGGTCCAACATCATAGAAGTCAGATCTAGAGCTCTCCAATCAGCAAAGAGCATGAGCCTTGTTAATTGCAGAGCTATAGGCCTGAATCAGCAGGGGGAGTGTGGTACCTCTACATAAAGAAAACTTCTTCCATACAGTGAGCAAGGATCCTTCTCTGCAGCATGTTAAATACAGATGTTCTGGTCTATGTGGCAGAAAGTAACCAAAAAAAAGCTACTAAAACCATGGCTTTGATTAAGAAACATCCATTTACTCTCACTGCTCTACCAACAAGACATTAACCCCTAATCTAAAACAGGTTGGATGACATAGTGGTAGCAGGCAATTTAAAATTAACTAATATTTTAAGATGGATGCCTTAACTTGAGAGATCCTTTTCAATGGGTCATGATACCAGATGCCATTAAACCAGAATCTTCAAGAAAATCCAACATACTCACACATTCACAGATTGTGAGCATTCTCTTTGTACACAAAACATTGTACCTAACCAATTGTAAAAGTAATGGCATTACTATTTATTTTACTTTTTTAAGTATACAAAACAAACACATAACATTTTCTTTACTTTTGGACAAAGTAGCAAATGGTTAAAGCTTCTCTAGGTTTTATCACTGTCTTTGTCCCACTGGGGGTTATCCTTTCACTTTCTGTACCAAAGATACGACAGGAAGGACAGAAGCAAATCACGTCCTAGGCCCCTTTCAAACGAGTCAGGATCTGTTCAGAATCCCAATGTTACTCTATGGGCAGCCGGATGTAAATGGTAGTGCCTTCATTTACATCCGATTACCTCCAAGTCAGTCTAGTTACGGAAAAAAAAAGAGGAACAGAGTTCGGTTTTGGTGGACCTGATCATGAAGGATTGGAGGTAATCGGATGTAAATGAACACGTGTCTGCTTATAACCGACTCCCCATAGACCTAACATGGGTCTGTACAGCTCAGTTTCTTCCTCCATTGCAAGATCTGTTTTGCTCCAATTAGCAGGGGCCCCGTGCACGGATCTCCTGCTGATTGAAAAGGATGGTGTCCGTGTGAAAGGGGCCTTAGATAGCTATCACCAGAACAGGTGTATTGGAAGGTTTCTCTTCTATTTCTGTTCTGGATACTGCTGTAAAATATTTGCTTCCCATCAATATATAAGTGTGAGTCAAAAATGAACCGCACGCTGGCTGTAGAATTTATTTTCTATTGAATTTAACTGGAGTGCGGATAATTTTTGACTCACCCTTGTATAGCGGTAACAATGGTAACAATGGTACATTAAAAATTGTTACTATTGTTACTAGTAGAGTTAACGTGACATTAAGCTCAAAGTTAAATCTTAAAAATGCATTCAAGTATCTTAACTATTAACAAAAATGTATCTTATTTGTGTATTACTCAGCTGTAGATCCTCAAATCTCCTCTGCATTGGTTTTGCCACTGTCCTTCCTTTTGGAGTGTGGCTACTTTTGTTCCCCATGGTCCCTGTGTGTGTTGTGAAGTAGCCACCACTCCAAGCTCGCTCCCATGATGGAATATAATCTCAATACAGATTAGTAAACTAAATGTGAGATTGTAGTCCATCACAGGAGTGAGCTTGGTGTGGTGGCTACTTTACAACACACACAGGGACCATGGGGAACAAAAGTAGCCACCCTCCAGAAAGAAGGAAAGTGTCAGCACAAATTCAGAGATGCTTTGAGGATCTACAGCCAAGTGATACACAAACAAGGAACAGTATTCTTAATAATTAAGGTACTTTAATGTGTTTTTAAGATTTAACTCCTGAGTTTAGTGTCACTTTAAATATCTAATTTTGCAGGCTTTTATATTGGGCTTCTATGTATCCTACAGCAGTAAAAGGTAAATCTATTATATTCCATTATGCTCCTCCCCTATAGTCACAACGGTAGATACCATATTATCATATCAGTTTTGTTAGAGGCTAGTGCAAAAAAAAATTTTTTATATAAAATATAGAGTATACTTGCTGGTTTAGTGTGAGACTGTTTTAAAGCTGTAATTTGTTTTGTAGCATTCACAGTATAAGTATGCAATAGACAAGAGCACAATACACATGGACATATGAAAAATTGCTCAGATAAGGCAAAAATATTGGCTGTCCTAATTGGATGTGCTTCCCCCACCCACACATTTCTCTTAGATGTCCCTAGATGTCATGGTTGCCATTCACATCTCTGATTCCAAATATGCTGCTGTCCTTGTCTCTTCTATAACATTGTTTTGCACGCATGTCCAATCTCAATTAAACATTTTCTTAATTGTGAATTTTAACACAAACATGCAAAACATTAAATTAATGCTTTGCCATTGGGAGCACCTCTGCACAAGGCTGTTTTCTATGTCGTTCGTGAATATTGTGGCTAGTGGGTTCCGTGATGCCCACTAACCTTTTTGCAAAGTCTAACATATAATTAATGTACGGTATGTTGTATAGTCAAAATACAAGTAGGACTTCATCCTTAAAGCCCATCTCTGGACAAAAATCAAACGCCCTATACCCCCTTCCTCCCACCTCATCTTAGACATTCTGATTTTTTAAAATACCTTGTGCAGAGGGATATACTCATCTAAGTCCACCATTCAGGTCCCTCGTTAATGCCATTTCCATCTTGATGTGGGAGACTGGTAATCCAGCGCTGCAGATGTGCTTTTGCCAGTCGCTGCCCTTTAGCTGACATCACCACTGCAGACTCCCCTGAATTTTGAGAGGACCCCGCTACTGGAGAGCCACTCGTTAGTGTCCAAGTCACACACACAATGACATGGACAACCAAAGAATGACCCTTCCTCCTATGCATAGAAGAAGATAGAAGACTCAGGACCCGAACATCACATGATTG